ATATTCTTTCTGTCTATGATCGTTTTCCAGTACAGCTAGGCGAGGCATGTACAGACTTTTGGCATGGTGCAGTATATATCATTTACCTGTGTGGGGTCCAGGGGGTTGGAGTAGATGGCGCTGCAGGGTCTGTCCCGGGGAGAAAGGCAGGAACTCTCTCTGGAATGCTTATTCTTCTCAGATGGCAGCGGTGAACCTGGAAAGCATCGGGAATACGATGACATGGGCGGGATGCCACAAAGACAGGGCACAGGGGACATTCAGGAAGCGCTTCCACACTGCAGGATGCCTGTCGCATGGGCCCAACCCCTTTTCATGCGGGCAATTTAGGAATGAGTCTTTGTCATTCCTACAAACACTTTACAGCTTGACGGCAGTTTATGAGGCTCCCCGGGTTACAAGGTTGGCGATGGGAGAGTAAATGTCTTCATATATTCTCTTTACAGTCACAGTTCAGAGGCACAGGCTGAGCTGCCTGCATATCTGCCTACAGGTCACCACATGACTGCTGCCGCCCCCCCCCCCTACCACCACCTCCCACTGGCGGTGGGGCCACAGGCCAGAGAGTTAGGGAAGAGCGAGCAAGCCTATCCAGTCATTCATATCCAGATAAATAACTACAGAAAAATCCACAATAAATTATCACTACACACTGATATGACTATCACAAGTCACATTTATTAAATATAACTTCACAATGTAATTTAATTTTATTATTTTATTATTAACTTATTATGTTCCAGTAGCATTTCCATTTGACCAGTATGGTAAATGTGTCCATGGGCGGGGCGGGGCTTGGCACTGACCTCTGGTGCTGGAGGGGGCGGAGCTGCTGACGTTGGGGGAGGCAGAATGATTGGAGCTCAGGCTTGAGGTAGATGGGCTGGGCTGTGGACCGCAACAGAACATCTTAAGAACATCAGAAGATCGTATTTGGCTGTGGAAGAGTGCTTTAGAAGCCCGGCGGGTTTAAAAATCCAGCTTCCCTCAATCGATACGAATTATTAGTTCAAAAGTAAAGCAGCCTTTGGAGGTTTTTATTGTTCAAACAGAAGCCCAGTCTATCCGGCCAAAGCAGAAGGCCTCCCTGTGACTGGAGGGGGCAGGACTGTCCTGAATCCCTGCAGAGCGGTCAAGGCTGGTCCTTCATTAGCTCCAGTCTGACAGCAGTGAAAACAGCCCCACACCCGACGGAACACTACCTGCATGTTGAAAACCTCATCTGAGCTCTCCGACTGGCCTGTGATGTTGCTCACTTCGTTTGAGGCCTGGGAGGACAGCGAGGACGAGGAGTAGCGGTTCGCTGCTGGGTAGCTGAGGGTGCTGGGGCTGGGACCACCGAAGAGAAGAACAGGCGTTTAGGAGAGGCAGGCCACTTTCTTGCTCTCAGCTCTCTGTTACTCACGGCTCTCTCTGTTACTCTCAGCTCCCTGTTACTTACAGCTCTCTCTGTTACTCTCAGCTCCCTGTTTCTTACAGCTCTCTCTACTATTACTTTCAGCTCTCTTATTCTCAGCTCCCTCTGTTACTCACAGTTCCCTCTGTTACTTTCCAAAGCAACACTTGTTTTTTGAGACAGCAGGGTCAGACAGTCCCTGGAGCAATTGGGGATTAAAGGCCTTGTTCAAGGTGACATCATTCTGCTGACCCCGGGATTTGAACTGGCAACAGTGTACTAACCCACTGAGCTACACACTGAAAGTATAACTACTTAAATAATACATAAACTGTAGCCATGTATTTACAGTTAGTCACAGGTACTAAAGAATGGAAGGTAAAACCAGTCACATGACAATGTCACATGTCAGCGAAACACACTGAGAGTAGGGCGAAGGTAGATGAGGCGGAGGCTGCACTTACCCACGTCTCATCACTCCCCGCCCACCATCAGGGCTCACAGCATTGACCATTGAGCCCATGTAGGTACGCGGGCTTCCATTGGTAAAAGGCAGGTAGGCTGGACAATCCTGGAAAAACGGCAATGTCAGTCACCATCATCACCGTAACCTCATCACCATCCTCACCGTAACCTCATCACCATCCTCACCATCATCATCATCATCATCGTCATCACTGTCCTCACCATCAGCACCTTCACTAGCATCATCCTCCCCCTCACTACAGTCTTCATCACAATCATTTCTGTAAGCACTGCCATCAGAATACTTCCTGCACTGATGTATGTTATTCTTAAGACTCACTTGTATTCCCAGACTGGACTTCATGAGATGAAACTGGTCAACCAGCTTCTTGTGCAGAGGTCTCATGTCCTGTGGCACAAACTTCTCGTGCACAGCCAGGCCGTACCCCAGGATGTGTGCCTGAGGGTGAAACGATCGTGCTAGATGTACACACACAGTCTCACCGCGGCACACGCTCATCGCACACCGCAGATGGTGCAAGGGGCCAGTCGTGTTAAGGGTGTGGATACAGAATCGAAACAGATGAGGAGCCCCTATTGTACACCATAGCAAAACACTTGACCTGAATTGCTTTGGTAATAATATTCAATCACATCCACGTTTAAGCCATCAGGAAAGTGAAAAAGCTGGACCTGCTGCTCTTCCACACTCACCTGCTCCAGCATGAGCTCGCGGAGACGGCCGATCTTCTCACAGTCCTCCGGGTGGCTTGCCACGTAGTCCTTCACAAAGAAAGCCTGAGGGGAAACAGGAGCCTTGTCTGTTTCTGTCTTCCTCTCTCTCCCTCTCTCTCGCTCACTCACACCCAGTGACTCACAGAAACACTGCATCAGACCTCAAGTAACAACCCTTTAGAGATGGCACCATCACTGCATGTCCAACAAATGTGTACATATAGAATAGCACAAGGTCTGGGTACAATCTACCAAGTTTCAAGTCTCCTGATCCCTGAGCCTAACCTTCCTCTCTTAATAATTACTGTAATCTGTCTGCTGTAATGTTTCATTATGGATGCATTTCTCAGCACAGTTCCTAGCATCACGCAACTCTTTTGAGTGAAGAGTTACCTAAACTTCTGGTGGAAAGAACAAGTGGCCTAAAAAACACCCTGTCCATCCTATAAGAATATCATGTAAAGGAGTCTGACAGCTGGGATTGTAGCTTCTCAGGGTACAAACACAAGCTCCAAATACTTGGAGCGAATGCAGTAAAAAATGCAACATATGCATGGGGAGGGGGGAGGGGGGGCAGAAGAAGCAGGGTGTTAAGCCATGATACCGCTCCAGGAGAACAAGAAGACAGCCAAAGACAGTTAGATACGAAACCTTTGCCTCACACAGGAGCAGCGAGACTGAGCTTCTGGTGGAAAGTGTAGCTTTAATACTTCATTAATAATGATATGGTAAGGATGACGTAAATATCATCATGGTGGATCTGCCAGTGTAATTATGTGCCCCCAAACACTCCAGGACAAAACAGATTAAAACACAAGTGCGGAGAAAGCAGGCTGCAGGGCAGTGTGGGGATCATTCCCATGAAGGACCTCTTCCTCTTCCTGAGGCTACTCACCACATTCTGCTGAGATTCCTCTGCAGCCAATCAGTGCAGATTGCAAGCACTATTATTTTCTTAAGAATGGGTATAATTTCAGAAGTGGAATAATTTTAAAAGAAAATGAATCAGAATTCCAGACAGCAATGATTCATAAGCAGCATAAAATGGATTATTCTATGCGGCTTGGATTTCATAAATACAATTTCTGTTTTGAATATGGGAACGGAGGGGAAAAAATCCTTGGTGTGAAATAAAGCAACAGATAACAAGAAATCTGGAGCTGAGAATAACAAGATTTCTCTAATAAGAATGGCACTGGACTCGCCCTGAGGGAGAAGCTAAAATTGCTCATATAAATCTAAATGTTAGCAGCACAGGCTGGTTCCTGCAGAGCAGTCCAAAGGGCATATCTGCCATTTATACTATCAGATAACAAACCGTAATTGACTTACGCTTCTCTTATAATATTTCCAAGCAATGACGTGTCAGACTCGCTACAGGATAAAATGACATTTCAGGCTCATTTGCAGTTCCTAAGGAATAGGGCCCCGCAAATTGATATGGACGCTCTCTCCAGCAGAGCTCAATGTGATGGTGGAAACATCAGACTGCTGGCGTCAGTCCCCTTCAGGGAGGGGGGCGGGACTAGATGCAGGACTCACTTCGGGCTGTTTTCACATCTCATATCAAAGTCTTGCATGTGACACTTTCTACACAATAATACCTGCATGAATCTACAGTAACAGACTCAGTGCTCATGACAAAACATCACATTGGGCCCCCTTTGTACATTTCTCTGGACAGCCCCCCCCCCCATAGCCCCCCCTGACTTAAGTGAGGGTTCCGCTCAGTGAATTTTTGCTGACTGAGCCCCTGAAAATATAGAGCGTGCTGAGCCCCCTAAATCTGCCAGGGTATCTGACCATTGTGGAGGTCAGGGGGGGCTTACCTCCTGGTAGCGCGTCAGGCCCCCGTTGACAGCGGCGTCGATCACCCCGTTGAGGCACATGGTGAGCGGGTTGATGTTGTGCATTTGCCTCGCCTGACACTGTGTGATCAGGGTCCGCAACTGCAAGTTCTTGTTCTCGATCACCTCGATGGCATTCTCCAGCGGGCTCACTTCCATCTGCGTAATAACACAGCACAGTGAGCATCACCTCACTGACTGGGCATCACAGTGAGCATCACCCCACTGAAAGGGCGTCACAGTGAGCATCACCCCACTGGTTGGGCGTCACAGTGACCATCACCCCACTGGCTGGGTGTCACAGTGACCATCACCCCCAATGACTGGACATCACAGTGACCATCACCCCATTGAAAGAGCATCACCCCACTGAAAGGGCGTCACAGTGAGCATCACCCCACTGGCTGGGCGTCACAGTGAGCATCACCCCACTGGCTGGGCGTCACAGTGACCATCACCCCAATGACTGGGCGTCACAGTGAGCATCACCCCACTGAAAGAGCATCACCCCACTGAAAGGGCGTCACAGTGAGCATCACCCCAATGACTGGGCGTCACAGTGAGCATCACCCCACTGGCTGGGCGTCACAGTGACCATCACCCCAATGACTGGGCGTCACAGTGAGCATCACCCCACTGACTGGGCGTCACAGTGAGCATCACCCCACTGGCTGGGCGTCACAGTGAGCATCACTCCACTGGCTGGGCGTCATAGTGACCATCACCCCACTGGCTGGGCGTCACAGTGACCATCACCCCAATGACTGGGCGTCACAGTGAGCATCACCCCACTGAAAGAGCGTCACAGTGAGCATCACCCCAATGACTGGGCGTCACAGTGAGCATCACCCCACTGGCTGGGCGTCACAGTGAGCATCACTCCACTGACTGGGCGTCACAGTGAGCATCATTCCACTGGCTGGGCGTCATAGTGACCATCACCCCACTGGCTGGGCGTCACAGTGACCATCACCCCAATGACTGGGCGTCACAGTGAGCATCACCCCACTGAAAGAGCGTCACAGTGAGCATCACCCCAATGACTGGGTGTCACAGTGAGCATCACCCCACTGACTGGACTTCACAGTGAGCATCACCCCACTGGCTGGGCGTCACAGTGAGCATCACCCCACTGGCTGGGCGTCACAGTGAGCATCACTCCACTGGCTGGGCGTCACAGTGACCATCACCCCACTGGCTGGGTGTCACAGTGACGATCACCCCACTGGCTGGGTGTCACAGTGACCATCACCCCACTGGCTGGGCGTCACAGTGAGCATCACCCCACTGGCTGGGCGTCACAGTGAGCATCACCCCAATGGCTGGGCGTCACAGTGAGCATGACCCCACTGGCTGGGCGTCACAGTGAGCATCACCCCACTGGCTGGGCGTCACAGTGAGCATCACCCCACTGGCTGGGCGTCACAGCGAGCATCACCCCAATGACTGGGCGTCACGGTGAGCATCACCCCACTAGCTGGACGTCCTGGGGCTCCAGTTCACACAACCATGTACACACATTCCCACTTAGGGTGCCTCTTAAGGCTCAGTGTGCTCCTAGGAGCAGTCGTGAAGCAGACTGTACAGCGGAGGTACTGCCTGGAGAAATGGCAACAGAGAAAGGGAGGAGGGGAGCAAGTCTGCCTCAAATCTACCCAAATGTATCTCTCATAGTGTGACCAGGTGTGATACTTACTGGGATTGCAGACAGTGGAACTTCAAGACATGTTTTTTAAGTCTAAAAACTTCTTTAATCATCTGACCATGAAAATAAGCAATAATGCTATGCAAACAGACAGTCGTGCAAATGCAAATGCAAAATCTGGTAAGATTAACCATCATGGAAAGCACAAGAAATGATGGGTGTGTTATGGACATAAAATAAATATAAAATAGTTCATCCTTAAGTAATATCAAAGCAAAGAATTACTGGAGACTATGTAGCCTTACTAGTCTCATATATATGTAGCCTAATGTATTTTCTTAATGCGCAACCCTTCCCGGTGCGTAGTGTTACTTGGTAGGTAGCCTTACCGTACAGTCACACTTTCCGCGAAACTAGCGAATGCTGTGGATGCTCTGTGATGTAGACAGAGTGGGCGGAGACAAGGTTGCTCACAATGCTAGGTCTCGTAAAATTATTAAAGTGGCCTGCAGAGCAAACAATTTTGTAGCTTATCTTTGTACTGTCTGTCGATAGAATATAATTTGTCAAAGCACGTGATTATGTTAAGACAAACACTACTGCTTTAAATAAATAACATTAAAGTTACCGAGAATTCACATTATTTTGCATTCTTTGGCACCAAAATAGTATGCGATAGTATTACTTCACCAACTCATCTTGATCACCAATAATAAGTTCTCTCTGTATCAAACAGGCTTTAATGATATTGTTGCCAGTAAAAAATACCTGGAAGTAAAATGAAAGCCTGTAACAATGTGTCTTTGATAACCTCAATAATGGATGTTAATGGAATCTTATAATAACAGTGTTGTTTATGTTGTGTTATATTGGACTGTCCGGGTCTCGAACTCCGTCCCAGGCTACTTTGCGCCTTTACTTCACTTGCTCTAAGTCAGATATATTAATTCAGTGCATCAAACAAAACAATGAAACTCTTAGTTGACATTTTCTCAAAATTTTAATTTCAGTGGCTATGATTAAAAGCCCAAATATTATAAAACAGCAACCAATACAATGCACTACATTCTGAAACATAAGAAATTTACAAACGAGAGGTCATTTGGCCCATCAAGCTTGTTTGGGGTGAACTTAACTAATAGCTCAGAGTTGTTAAAAGCTTATCTAGCTCTGATTTAAAGGAACCCAGGGTTTTAGCTTCCGCTACACTAGCAGGAAGACTATTCCATACTCTAACTACACGCTGTGTAAAGAAGTGCTTCCTCAAATTCATTTTAAAATGTTCTCCCACTAATTTCCACCTATGGCCATGGGATCTAGTATTTGACCTTGAACAGAAGTATTAGCCTGGGTATATATCAGCACCAGAGACCTTTCTAACACATACATTTATACCGTACTGACGCGATATAAAAATGCATGTCTACATGGTTTTTTTTCAATGTGTAAGTTCATGTTGCCCAAACATGGGTATTTGTGCCATGTCCAGAGGGTAAAATACCGTGTGGAGATGAATTCTGTCTCGCGGTTTTTACCCTGATGGAGCTTGGGAACTGTTTGGTCTGAACAAAAGTTTACATGCTTGTGTTCTATGGAACTCTCTTTAGCGAACCATCCCTACATTCCGACTGGTTTACATGCTTGTGTTCTATGGAACTCTCTTTAGCGAACCATCCCTACATCCCGACTGGTTTACATGCTTGTATTCTATGGAACTCTCTTTAACGAACCATCCCTACATTCCGACTGGTTGCCAGCGAACCGTGTCATAGCTCATTATCATAAAGTTGACTGGGCTTCAACTTCATTTTGACTCTCTCGCTCCCCAAATCACAATGCGACGCTCCGGTCCTCCTAATGAACAACTTCCGGTTACTTTGACGCTCTCGCTGCTCATGGTGTGAACCCAGGGTTACTCAGTGTGCAGTGTTCCTTGGTATGTTGCATTACTCAGTGCACAGCCTTACTTGGTATGTAGCCTTACTCAGTGCA